AAAAGGGGAAAAGTAGGTTGATCACCGTTCACTGTCGATGTCTACTCTGCCGAATTTGCTTATTCTTGTATCAGCTTTCAGTCAGTAAGCTTTATAATACTGCTCACTTTTTATCTTTGAGACCAGGACTGTTGAGGTCAACATTTCTGACTTCTACTATTTATATCATACAACATGTAGTATTAATGATGTATGGTTATACTCTCCCGGTTCCATACCTAAGTGATTCCGAGTTTACCGTTATATTAGTGAAAATTTGATTCCCTGGTGGTAAGTCAGAAGGAGAAATGGCGTTCACCGGGAGTGGTTTATTTTTTATCTGACGTCTCGTCTATCCATCTTCAGAGATTGAATATTCTGGCTCCTGACATATAGCGAGAGCCAGGAGCCAGAGTATTCACTCTCTGAAGATGGATAGACGAGGCAACTATCCGAAATGTCAGTTAAAAAATAAACCTCTCCCTGTGAACGCCCTTCGTCCTTGTGATTCTGAATTTATCTAGAAATTCAATTGGGAAATATTCGTGTTAAGATGAGAGTGAGTTGGTGAAGTGTCGTTTCTCTTCGTATCGTTCTCACAGATAGAGTGGAGGGGCAGGGCTTCGCAAATGCTGTTCAGTGGTAGTAAATGACCGCTATATGGACTTGTGACTCACATTTTTTTATGCAGATGCCATTTATACACCTGGTTCACATTTTATTCTGTTCAGCGGGACTTCCTACGGTCGACCGTCTTGCACGATGGAATGCCCTAAGGACGTCAATTCGCATGAATGATTCAGAATGCGTTTGGTGTCGTCCCATTGACTCCATGTTAGGCAGGACCGACTTTTACGCTCGATGGCTGTCTACCCCGATATTCGCGTGGGTCATGGTTCGTGTGTTGCCAATCTGAACCATGGTGTTCACATTGCAGTCCCATTTGGGTCCTTCAGTTTATCAATTCTTTCAAAGCAAAGGGTTTCTGACTGAAACTGTCTGCCTGTTCACAATTGATGGTGAGACCCTCGTACTAGTGGGCTGCTCTGGAGTCGTGCATTCTGTTAGCAAGTCCACCGCAGATACATACCGCCTGCGTCCGACTGTCAAACCCCCTGGAATTCTCGCGAAATTGGCCTGAAGACTAAGCTACGCTTAAACAGCCTTCTTGTCCGGAGAATGCCGATGCAAAACATTTTCTATTTGCTTAGGGGTAATCCCCTATTTGGGCTTATTACATTGATGCTCTTTAGTACGTTTTCCGAGTTCACTTTTCGGTCGTGTTTCCTGTGAACCCCTTGGCAACTTTTTGCAAACAAAGCGGGCCAACGACTACGTCTGTGCTCGCCAGCTGGGATAGTTAGATCACGCCCTGCGCTGACCCGACGTCTAAA